AAAAATTAGCACACATTTCTTTTTAGCTTCTTCAAATTTCACAGATAGAAGATTGATTCTTACTGTAGACATTAAGCAATCTCAGCATAGTTTTTTTCTTTCCTTACTAAACTGAAAGTTTTTACCTTTTCACTTAAAGGAAGCACTTTACAGCTTCCACCTGGCATATCTGAATTGCCAGCATCACTGCTCTTCTGGTTTGGGGCCATTATTAAGTAAAATAAGGTTTTCTTGAACACAAGCACTATGATACAGAAACAGTATCGGGTAACTGAGCCAGCTACTGAGCAACTGATGGGCTTGGAGCACCCACACTTTGTACATGCTGGATAAAAAGATGATTCACATCCTGGGCCAAAGGGAGTAGAGCAGTGCCAGATCTTCTCATGCTACTCAGAACAGTTTAAAACTGGTAAACTGTTTATTTCTGGAATTTTCCATATAATATTTCCAGACTGTAGTTGACTACAGGTAACTCAAACTATAGAAAGGGAAATCACAGATAAGTGGGGACTACTGTACTCTTTTTTTTCCCCTCGTGTTATTAAGTACCATGGCTTCCATAATGTGGGATTTAAAAAAAAATTGTTATTAATAAACACCATGATTATTTAACATGGAGTTTAGATTTATTTTGTTATTTTAATGGAGATTAATAAGATTTCTCTGAATAGGTGAAAAATGAGCCTTTTGTGACAAACTTTCTTTTTTTTTAAGCTAGAAAATGTTGGAATAAGAAAAAGTTGTGCTAGGTTTGATAATGCCCCTTACATATTGAATAAAATTATTTAGAATTGAATTCTTGGCATTCATTTCTAAAATTACATATTTTAAATTTTTCAATAAGGGAATGAGTATATACAGATGTGTCTACTGTACAGATGTCAGGAAGACTACAGTATTAAATTTATGCGAGAACATTGCTATGTACTCTGAATAAGGTGTCTTTTGCTAACATTGTCCCATGTTTGAAGAGATAGGGTAACCAATCTAATTAGAAAAATGGAATTGATACCAACCAAGGGGTGAGGCTTGGGATTGCCCATGTGAGAATTGTTTTTTCCCCACTTTATCTTTGTCACCTTTGGTTTTTCTTTTTATTGGTATACAGAGGGGAAAAGTACATGGGACTGTGGCAAGATGATGCATGTCAAGGGAATGGTGTGGTCGTTACCCAGTTTGGATTATACTATGAAGGCAACTTTCACCTTAACAAAATGATGGTGAGTGGAAGATTTGCATGTATTATTATTTGATCTTTTAAAACTCCTTTTGCTAACTTTTAAAATAATCTTTTTCTTAATGGCCTGCCTACTTAGTACTTAGTATTTTCCTCCTCTTTTAAGTACTAAGTACTAGTACTTAGTATTTTCCTCATCTTTTAAGATCAGATAAGGCTTTGGGGATATGGCTGCATCATTCTAAATTTACTCTGCATTTTATGTATTGTGATTTTTGTTTTATTTCTTCTCATAGGGAAATGGGGTTTTACTCTCCGAAGATGATACTATCTATGAGGGAGAATTTTCAGATGACTGGACTCTTAGTGGAAAGGTTGGAAACTAACTATCTTTTTCTCTCTAATATGTTCTTTTGCCTGTAAGTGTGCGTGTCAGTGATTTTTAGTAAATATATAGAGTTGTACAGCAGTCACCATAATCCAGTTTTAGAACATTTCCATCATTGGAAACTACCCCTCCTGCACATTCACAGTCACCTCCACATACACTTCCAGTCCCAGGCAACCAGTAATCACTGTGTAGATTTGCCTTCTCTGTTCCTTTCTTATAAATGCAGTCATTCATGTGGTCGCTCCCATGTCACTTTTTACACTTAGCATATTGTTTTTGAAGTTTTCTTTCTTTTTTTTTTTGGATATAGAGTTTCATTTTGTCAACCTCAGTAGAGTGCGTGGCGTCAGAGCTCACAGCAACCTCAAACTCTTGGGGAGTTTTGGAGAGACAGGGTCTTTTGCTCTGTCACCTGGGTTAGAGTGCAATAGCATTGTCATAGCTCACTGCAACCTCAAACTCCTGAGCTCAAGTGATCCTCCTGCCTTAGCCTTCCACGTAGCTGGGATTACAGGTGCATACCACCACAGCAGGCTAATTTTTGTATTTTTTTGTAGAGACTGGAGTCTCGCTCTTGCTCAGGCTGGTCTCAAACTCCTGACCTGAAGCAGTCCTGCTGCCTCAACCCCTCAAAGTGCTGTGATTACAGGTGTGAGCCACTATACCTGGCCTTGTTTAACATCTTAAGAAACTGTCAAACTCTTTCCAAAGTGGCTGCACCGTTTTTCATTCCCATCAGTAGTGTGTGAGGATTCTCATTTCTCCATACCAAACTATTTTTTATTTTCTGTCTTTTTCCTTATGGCTATTTCAGTGGATATGAAGTGGTAGCTCGTGGCTTTAACTAATTTGCATTTCCCTAGTGACAGATGACGTATAGGATACTTATTAGTGATGCATATATCTTCCCTGATGAAATGTCTTCTTAAATCTTTTGCCCATTTTAAAATTGAGGTGCTTGTAGTCTTATTGTTGCATTGTAAAGTTTCTTTACATATTCTGGATACGTGTCTTCTATCAGATATTGAATCACAAATGCTTTCTCATAGTCTGTGACTTGTCTTTTATTTTCTTAATGTGTCTTTTGAAGCTTAGAAGTTTTTAATTTTAATGAAGTCTTATTTATCAAAAAATGTTTTATAAGTCATGCTTTTAATGCAATGAAGTCTATCTGTTTTTTTTTTTTTAGAAGTATTATGGTTTTACTTTTCGTATTTAGGTCTATGATTCATTTTGAGGTAACTTTTTTTATATCGTTTGAGTTAGGAGTCTAAGTTAATCTTTTTGCACATGGGTATCCAAATTCCCCAGCACCTTTTCCCATTGAAACTTTGAGAATGAATTTCACCTTTGTTGAAATTAATTAATGAATAATAAAAATTGGGGCTCAGTGCCTGTGACTCAAGTGGCTAAGGCGCCAGCCACATACTCCTAAGGTGGCAGGTTCGAATCCAGCCCAGGCCTGCCAAACAACAATGACAGCTGCAACCAAAAAATAGCCAGGCCTTGTGGTGGGTGCCTGTGGTCCCAGCTACTTGGGAGGCTGAGGCAAGAGAATCTCTTAAGCTCAAGAGTTGGAGGTTGCTGTGAACTGTGATGCCATGACACTCTACCCAGAGTGACATAGTGAGGCACTGTCTCAAAAAAAAAAAAAGAAAGAAAGAAAGAAAAAAGAATATGCAGGTTCTTTTTGCT